ATTGTGTTGGAATGAGATAGGGATTGTTATGAGAGCATTATGTGATCCTCCTGTGTGCCGTGCTTCTTCCAAACGGCTGCCTGGCATTTTGAACTGTTCTCGCAGGCTCCATTCTCTCAGACAGGTAGGGCACGTAAAGTGAGGCGCTGCTATGTAATAAATGCACCAAAGATTCTGCTGACCGTCTGACACTTGACAAGATTTAGCATTTCAGGAATGTGTAAATTGCAGCGATTCCTCTCGAGTTGAGTGAGTCCCACACAAACAAGCAGCAAGCACAAGCCATTTTAGACAAGAAGAAACTTCAGCTGAACATTCAGGCCTTGCCTCCGAGCTCACAATTATGTGTTCATCTTCTCCGGACATTGAAACAAAAACCTATTTCAGCTCTTATAGGACACAAACTCTGTATTGTGTCATACCAACTGTCAAGTCACTTTCGAGCTATGCTGCTTTAGCACCATCCATACATACTGACTCCCTAATGAGGACCACAGCCAAAATGTTTTTAGAAACAGATGTCACTGCAACTTTGGATACATTTGGTGGTAGATTTTACTGACTTATGCAGAAAATTACCTGAATATACATGATGTAACATCATTATGTCCAGATATTTACAGTGCAGCTATAATAGAGTTTTACAGTTGGAAAAAAATGTAGAAAAGCTTTCTAAAACATTTGTAATTCTGATTTTGGTGTCCGTCCCCCGCATTCACAGTACACAGACTTCTTTTTTAAAGTTACTAATTTGGAAACAAGTCAAGAAGAAATATTTTGTTGGAGGAGACAGTTTTTCCACCCACGGTAGCCTCAGTAGACTATAGTCCAACAACAAATGATGTTTCATGTTCATTAAAGGGGTACAACTCACACTTCAGCTCAACTGGGAATAAGCCAACCCTTTGCTCATACTATGTCTGTCTCAATCGCTGATGCTCTCCACCTACACATAGAAACAGCACAATACAACGTGTTCCGGCTCGTACTCGTACACTGAAAGTCATTCTTGGAAATGTTGGAAATCACTAACTGAAGTAGAAGTACGATGAGTCAGGAGGTAGGCAAGGATCTGGGAGTGCCAGTGATGAACCAAAAGCTGGTGCAACCTGGCGCGGCATAAAGCACGAGCTAATGCCACGGGGGAAGACAGCAGATGAACAGCAAAGTGACTATGTAAAGTGCTCAGGAGAAATCGGATTACATTACAATTTAGCATGCATTCATTCTTTCGGCATATGCTCCAAAAATCTTAACTTCTTGCTAGTACTTTGTCTCCCTTTTGGAAGGGCCTGACTAATACTTGGAACTTTTTACTCCCCGGTGAACCTGCGGCCTAGCAAGACTTACTTACTTAAACTAAACAAAAGATTTAAAGTCATAATCCTTAAGATTTCAGTCCTGGTTGATTTGGCAACATCAGTGGTTACCGTGGTAACAGCAAGTGCAGTTTAACACAACGGCAGACAACCCTGGAGCAGCTAAGGAATATAATAGAAGAGCAGCTACTGTTTCTGTTTACAGCTCGGCTAAACAAACTCTGGTGTATTAATAAAGAAGTCAGTCGAAATTGATTGCAACTGCAATCTGATTAATGCTGCAGAGTAGCTTTCCACACGAGCAGGGCACAGTAACGTTTGTTAATTTACTGAGAATTGGAAACAGCTCACTGGTTGCTCCCCGGAAAACTTTTGTTTTGTAGACACATGTTTGATAACCAGTTGTGGTTAGTACTAACTGTGGTGACAAGCACATTGTGTTTCCTGCGGCTGCTTCTCAAGAAAAGCTGTCACACGATTGGTCAGAAGACCTTTAATATGAAGCAGTGGGAAATGGTGTGTTTGCATTATGAGGAACATAATACAGCTCTGTTGAGGAGTGAGGCTGTTAACAAAGAGATAAAATTGTGCTGGATTGCATGCATCATTTTTCTGCTGCTTTGGTAGGCAATCTAAATCTAAAGGAATGGCGGACTCTGCCACTACCAACAAAAACAACTATGTATAAAGATGATGGATTATAAAGCTATTGCAGACCATAAATATTATCAATAAAGTATCTTTTTTTGAGTTTGGCCTCCAGTTTCAGGACCCTAGGAAGAATAATGGCTCTGTCAGGTTGTCTGAAAATAATAGTTTTATCAGTAATTCTGATAACACTTTCCTCCCATGCTTATTACGGTCTAAAATTCCTGTATTATAATCCATTATTCCCCCACCCTGACAGTGAGTGCCTCATTTGTGGCAGCTCTACCTACACTCTGCTGGACTGGAAATCTTTAAAAACCTGAAGCCCCTGAAAAGAACATGTCTGAGTATGGGATGTAAAATCTGTAATAAGGCCAAGCAACCAGCAATGGTTTCTTGGTGTACATGCAATGTAATTTCATCAGTGAAAAAGATAAATAGATGAATGCAAGCACTGCTGATAGCGCTTCCTGTAAATGCGTCACCATGGTATCCTAACTTCTCTTTCTTTCACTCTTTTGATGTCAACTCACACATCTGCCTTTGGAGTGTTTCCTCTCTTCACTTTTAGTGGGTTTACATCCTTTGTGTATCTGCACTAAACCCAACAACAGGACATCTCCCATTTCCTAAGGTAGTTTTTTTTGCTTCCTCCTTCCAATGGTACTCAAGAGACTGGGT